CACTTCTAGTGCAAAGAACAGAGCAAAGCCGACGGAACGTCCAGTTCTGGGGTTCGGTTACTGACGGGCATCTGGCTAGCTCGCGCTTGCTGGCCCTCGCACTGCCTGGTGTGAGCCACCCTGAGGGGAGGCCAAGAGCTGGACAGCCAGGGAGGAACTGAGGCCTCTGTCCAGCAGTGCAGGAGAAGGTGTGGATGCCAGGAGGTGGGAATCACGGGGGTGCGGTATTCCAGGAGCCTGTTCACCACCGGGATACACAGACCACACATACGTACATAGATCACACGCGTGCACGTATCCTTATGTAGTGTATGCATTTCTCACTGTGGAATCAGGGAAAAACCACGTTTGAGAAATACTTCTACTGGTAGTACTGTAGTCTTGAGAGTAACTGCGAAACCCCTGGTTCTCTAAACAAAGGTACAGGATTCGCCTGGAGGTGATGGTATTTGCTAACATAAGCAAAATACAATGATCAGAGTCAAGAAGATAATAATGATGGTGCTAATATCTGATATCAATCTATAGACATTGGAATTATATCAGTGATAATGTCCCTTATAGCAAAAAACCCCACAAAATTCTTTTCTGACCCAGGATCCAATCCAGAACCACACTTTGTGTTAGTTGGCATGTCTCCTTAACCTGCTGAAATGGTCTTTCTCTTTAATGAGCTGGACACTTGTCCAGAATGGGTCTCGGGGCTAGTGTCAAGGGGTCAGCCAGAGCTGTGTTCCTTCTGGAGGCTCAAGGGGGAGAATCTGCTTCCTGCCTTGTCCAGCGTCTAGGGGCCCCCACATTCCTCGCCCCCAGGCCCTTCCTCTGTCTGCAGGGCCAGCTGTGGTGGGCCAAGTCCTCACACTGCCATCTTTCTGGTTCTTTCCCCTTTTAAGGAGGATCCCCAGGTGATCCAGGGTCACCTCTGTCCTTTACATTGGCTGGTGAGCAACGGAATTCCATCTGCCACCTCAACCCCCCTTTGCCATGCAAAGTAACAGGTCCTGGGGATTGGGATGTGGATCTCTTTGGGGCGGCCGCTGTTCTGCCTGCTACACCGTGCTCTTCAACAAAACCTGCTTCCTTAGCTTTTCTCAGGGCTGTGAACTTCCTGGGTCCCTTCCCATCAATTCCCTTCTGCTTCTTTTAAGCAGAACCCTCATCAACGGTGTTGCTTGCAAGCAAGTCAAATGAAATGAACAGATGTTACCATTAACTCCCCACTACTCACTCTAAAAAAAAAAAAAAAAAAAGCCAGAGAGGCCTCCCCCCACTCCCCGCTGGCTCAGTCAGAAAAGCACATGACTCTTGATCTTGGGGTTGTGAGTTTGAGCCCCACTGTGGGTGCGTTGACTTAAAAACAAAAACTGAACAAACCCTGGGGTGCCCGAGCAAGAAGAGTTGGAATCCAGTCTGATTCAGAAGCCCACATTCATGGGGGAGATGGGGGCCTGGATGGAAGGAATGTGAAGCCCAGCCCACTGGGGCGGCGGTCCCCACAGGGACTGATCTCTTGCATAGACCAGTGCAATGTGGCTTGGGGTTAATTCTAGGCACAAACCCTCACAACCAACATCCGCTTCCTCTCTGGGACTGAGAAACCCCAAGGACCACAAATGTTGACTCACAAACCACGTAACCCCTGCTTTACTCTCCTGAAGGCTTTGAGGCGGCTCACAACCCTGAAGAGAGTCCCCAGAGAGATGAAGGATGATAAAAACGGGCCTAAAAAACAAACAAACCCAAACCCCCAGAAATCCAGAGACAGCAGTGTGGCAAAGGAATAAGCAGACTGAAGAACCAAATGTAAAAGGGTGATGCTTCAGGAGTTTTTGTTTTGTTTTTCCCAAAAAGAAACCTGAGGTGGTGTCAAACCCTTCAGACTGCTCTTTGCGCTTGGGGAATTCTGCCAGGTTTCCGTGGGCTCCCTGTGTTTGCTGTGCCGGGAAACGTGCGGGGTGTAAGCTGGGATGACAGTCGCTCCAGGCATAAGTAAGAAGGGGCACCGTTGCAGCGGTGGGAGTCCAGAGGTAAGGCGGGCTTTGTGTTCTCTGATACGGCCGAGCTTCCTCCTGCCGGACTGACCATCCGACTGGGGTCAACTTCATCCCAAGGCTGGGTCTCTAGCCAGTCGAAGTGTGAACCCCTAAAAGATCCGTTCAAGTCTGAACCCTCGGCGCCTGTGAGTCTGAGCTAATTTGGAAAAAGTTGCTTTGCAGATAAAATTAAATGAAGGATCCCGGGATGAGACCATCCTAGATTATCCGGGGGTCCCTAAATCCAGCGGTAAGTGTCCTTATAAGAGACGGAAGAGGAGGTGACACAGAGTGGAGTGAAGAAGGCCACGTGGAGACAGGGCAGAGAGTGGAACGATGCAGCCTTAAACCAAGGAACAGCTGGGACCCCCAGAAGCTGCCAAAGACGGCACGGGACAGACTCCCCTTGAGCCTCTGAAGGTCGCACGACCCTCCTGACACCTTCAGTTTGGACTTCTGGCCTCTGGAACCGTGGGACAGTAAATGTTTCAGGTCAGCGGGTTGATGTTGTCACAACAACCAGAGGGAATTAATACAGTCTCTTTGGGGGTCACAGGATGGTTGCCAGAGCCGATGGGGACCACTTGCTTGTTTTCTGGCCGGTGGGAGAGAGAAGGGCTTCTCTTTCTTTTGTCTACTGGGGTTTATCTTAAAACCCATAAAAGCCCCCCAGGGAATGCCAGGGAGTAATGGATGAAAGGCAGGTTCCCCAACACCAGTGCTGTTAATGTTCGGGGCTGGATAATCCTGGCTGTGGGGCAGGGGGTGTCTTGGGTACTGTGGAATGTTGAGCAGCATCCCTGGTCTCCACCCACTAGATGCCTGTAGCATCCCCCCCTCAAACTGCCGAATGTCCCCTGGGAGGGAAGTCACCTCCAGGTGATAACTCTTTGCGCAGACCCGTGTGGACCCCTTTCCGGGCCGTGAACATGAGCAGCTGCAGGTGGATGACCACAGAAGTAAGCACCAGCCACAGAGCCTCACAGCTGCTTGCTGTCACCTGTGCTCTTGGGAGGGCACGGGGGTGGAAGGCAGGCACTGGGGGATTGAGTGGCTTTAGAAGTCGACAGATCTTCATGGAAACCAACCATGCAAATGGCAATGGGCGGTCCCACAGAAGTCAGGCCAGAGTCTCAGGGTGACAGCAGCAGAGGGAATGAAATCTGAGATCTGGGATTGGGTCATTTGTGGGGACAAACCTGAAAATGTCAAACTCCCAATTCCTCTGAGATGCCCTTGCAATGAGAGACCAGCATCTCTTAATCGGAGGTCACCGTTCCTCCATAAGCAGGTGTCTCCTGGGATGATACTCACTCACCTTAAGACCTGCCCCTACCACTTTCATTGCCTGTGGCAGATCCCAGCTCATGCTCCATGAATTGTAGGGTCTGGCTAATGTGTTTTGGCAGGAACCTGGGGATCATTGCAAGTGGATCTTGAGGGTTTTAGATGGGGTGGAACATGAGACAAATTGGGAGGAATCCATGGACATGGGGTCACTCACCTATGATGAAGATTTTATCTAATATTTTGGGCTTTCTGAGTAGCTGCAAACTATGGCAATTGCGTACCTATGGATCTCCCACATAATGCCTAAAGACAGATCAATATCAATACCCCTGTTCTGATGTACTGTGGTTAACTAGGAGAATGTCCTTGTTTGCAGGAAAAAAGATCAGTATCTGGGTGAATTACATCAGGTCTGCAACACAGTCTCAAACGGTTCAGGGGGGGAAAAAAGCGCTTCTTTGTATTATATTTATATACTCTTCCCAAAGTTTGTTTCAAAATAAATAAATGGAAAAGAAAAACAATGCAGAATTACAAAACCACATCTCCGCGGGAGAAGACAGAGAATGGCTGCACTTCAAAACAACGCCAAAACGAAAAGGGAAAACCTTACCAATTTCCAGTGAGCAAGCTCTCTTTTCATGTTTTTTATATTTCAACCATGCGAATGTGTTACTAGAATAAAATCAAGTTCCATAAATAAAAGCAAAGGGATGCATACATATGACAAGGTACTATCATGTACGTCTGCATCTTCTTTTTCCATTTAGCAATAGATCTTGAAGATCATCTGTATCGCTACGCAAAGATCTATCACACTCCTTAAAAAATACCTGAACACGATTTCATCACGCGGATGTATCACAGAGATGCCACAGGGAGAGTTTGAGGGAAGCCGTACAAAAGACAGAGGCAGGTGCTGTTGGCAGCCCTAACATTGGGTGAAAACCACCACCAGAAATAGAAAGTTGTGCAAACAGTAAAAAGAGCGTTCCGGCTGATCAGGGCACCGACCGCAGAGCACAGACTAGAGTCTGTGAGAGACTCAAGAACAGGGAGAGGTACCCTTTGGACACTGCATGGTGAAGGGAAAAGGGAGAAAGAGGGGGAAATTAGGATTTTTCAAGAAGAAAGGAAAAAAAAAAATCAAGGACATAACCTTTCTCTCTACTCTCTGCCTCCCTGCAGGAGCCCCCTAGTAAAAAACTGTACTTTACCACACTGACAGCAGAGGGCAGACTTCTACTAAAAATCTTTACAACAGCAACCAAGCGCGTTATCTAGGAATACCTGTCAGCAGGAGCCGCACAGATCATCCCAGTCACCAGCCCTGTTTACAGAAATACACAGGTGCAAACATTATTTATCAAACACTGCCATCCAGATGAACCAGAAGATGAGAATCCCAAAACTCAGTTGGTAACACCTAAGAGCAGAATTAGTAGGTCACATGGTAACCCTACGTACACAACATTTTGAAGAACTGCCAGATTATGTTTCTCTCACATTCACAAGCGTATTCACAACAGCCCAAAGGTGGGAGCAACCCAATGTCCATCAGAGTTGACTGGATAAAGGAAGTGTGGAACGTTATTCAGCCCTCACACCCGCGACCACAGCGATGGGCCTTGAAAACACAACGCTAAGTGAAATAAGCCAGTCGCAAAGACAGATACCATGTGGTTTCACGGACATGATGTCTCTAAAGAAGCCAGATTTGCCGAGATAGAAAATAGCGTGGTGCTTACCAGGGGCAGCTGGGCGACGGTCCGGGAGATCGAGTGCTGGGACTGGAGCAGTAAGCCTTCATCTCTCCAGGCAGGACTCAGGAGCAGGCAAGGCGCTTCTGGTCTAGCCACCAAATTGGCAGCATGTGGAGATGCCTGGGGAGATCTGAACACATGAAGACAATTGCAACTAATGACAATCAAGAGCTTGATTCTCCCTGTTGAAAACACGGGAAGAAACATCTCGCCGGTTGCTTAGAACATTTCTTTAGAAAACTTGAAAGTTTTCTCTCTGTCTCTTCAAAGTGTGTGCCAACATTTTTAGAAGGTAAGTAAGCCTCTTGCCAGCTCTGTGACCCAGGACTGTCTTTCTCGAGGACTGGGAACGTGAACGTGAAGGGAGGCGGCATTTATATCTACCGGCTTCTGAAGGAGAACAGGAGCTCAACTCCATGTTGCAGAGCTGCCTCCCCACATAAAGCTGGGAGTGTTTTCCCTCCGCCTAAAGCCAGTCAGCTGACACATGTGGTCTCCCCAGTCACCGGATAAATTTAGGATGATGGTGCTGTCAGGTCCCCTGGGTGTGATGAGCTGACCCTGCTTGACTCTGTGACAGGGTGGGACTCTTTCCTGTCTTTGCCATCTTGTTGGCAGACCTTGTCCTGATGCCCATCATGCTCTGGCTTGAACACCCATTCAATAATAAAACTGTGTTCCTTCTCTTCTACCTTTGTGGAGAAATTTTCTGGGTTGGGAGATTTTGTTTAATGATACCTCCCCAACATTATGGGCTCAGCACTTGGTTTAGTTCCCCTGAGGGAACGTAAGGGTTCTCTATTCCCATTTCCCAATCTCACTGTGTCCGGCTCCGGGAACTTCAATCTCCCCTCTGTCTCCTGTTTTCTCTCTCTCATACATACACACAAACTACCCTCAATTTTTGTGCCAGGGGGTCGGGGGCTCCATTTTAACCTTCGCACTCCCATTCCTAATGCGGAGGGAAGGCACGAAGCTGTGACCATGCTTAGGGGCAGTCTTGGCATTTATCTTCACCATCCCTGACACACACTGTTAGGGACTTCTCCAGGGCAGAACCTCCCTGTTGATATCTCCCCAACATACAGATCCAGACCCGGCAGTTTTCCACCCTTGGAATGTAGCCTGGGAATATACAGGCACGTGTGCAACAGGATTTGTAAAAGGAAGCTGGTTGCCTTTGTAAAAGCATGTTGGTTGCATTTCTTTAATATGGAAAGATGAGGAACAATCTAAAAGCCAGCAGTATGAGTCATCATAAGCAAGTTACGGCACCTCCAAGAAAAGGAACATGAAAGCCGTTTTGCTGGTACTGGTTTTTAGCACGTCGTCTGGGGGAGACATTTAATGGGGACATAGTGACATGTGGGTGGATGGAACCTACGTGCCTGGACCCCTGGCAGTGGGAGCACCATGGCACCTGTGGTGAGATAGAAGGAGAAGAGAGACACAGTGCCTTAGCAGCAGGCACTGTTTTCCCTGAGTGGCCAGGGAGCCACCATTAACACAAGCACCCAGGAGATGGCTGAAAACAAGAGTCCAACTGATGGAGTCCTTCGGGGCTGGAAATTCAGGAGTGGGGGTGCTCTCCTTAGAGGTGAGTCACCACACGCTAGGAGGGGATGAGCTCTCCCAGGAGGGAGAGGGTGGCAAGAGGTGTGTGGGTTGAGGGCCAACTTTGGGGGATCTGATAGGAACTGGGAGGAAGAAAACTGGGTGATGATAAGGAGGGGAGAAAGCCTCTCTTGTCCAGCAAGCATCAGCCCCTGCAGAGAAGCACAGGGAGCTGAAGGATGAATAATGGCTGCTTGTGGCCCCTTCCTCCATCTTCAGAGCCACCAGTGGCTGGTTGAGTCCTTCTCCCACTGCCTCACTGACTCTTGTTTTTTCTGACTCCCTCTTCTACATTTAAAAACCCTTGCGATTCAGTGTAGGGATCCGAAGGGGCACATGCACCCTAATGTTTATAGCAGCAATGTCCACAATAGCCAAGCTGTAGAAAGAGCCTAGATGTCCACCAACAGATGAGTGGATAAAGAAGATGTGGTATATATACACAATGGAATATTATGCAGTCATCAAAAAGAATGAAATCTTGCCATTTGCAACGACGTGGATGGAATGAGAGGGTGTTATGCTAAGCGAAATAAGTCAATCAGAAAGACAAGTATCCTATGATCTCACTGATATGAGGAATTTAAGAAACAAGACAGAGGATCATGGTGGGGAAGGGAGGGGAAAAATGAAACAGGACAAAACCAGAGACGGAGACAAACCATAAGAGACTCTTAGTCTCAGGAACCAGACTGAGGGTTGCTGGAGTGGAGGGGGGTGGGAGGGATGGGGTGGCTGGGTGATGGACACTGGGGAGGGTATGTGCTACGGTGAGCGCTGTGAATTGTGCAAGACTGTTGAATCACAGACCTGTACCCCTGAAACAAATAATACAGTATATATATTAATAAAAAAACCAACAAAACCCTTGTGATTCATTCAGCTTGTCTGGATAGTCCAGAATTACCTACTTATTTTCAGATCAGCTGATTAGCCACCTTAATTCCATCATAGCTGGAACTCACCTTTGCTGCGTCAGGCGACACACGCACAAGCTCTGGGGACGAAGTTGTGGACATCTTCGGGGCACCATTATTCTGCTTCACTCACTACACCCTCCCCGTTGGAGTACCTTGGACCAGTTGTCCCTGTTTGAATTGAGGACTCATGAGTGCAAAAAACATAGCATGGAGTCGTTCAGGTTGTCACCCGCATAGGGACGGTTGGCCAGTGAGTGAATGGGAATATAACTATCCCACCTGCTTCTCCCCAAACTGCAAGCCCTGGCTTGTGGCCATGGCCACTTCAAGGAACCGATATTATTCTTCCCATTAGTGAAATAATGTCCTATGGGATATTGGCATATAGTGGGTTGAATAACGACTCCTCCCAAAAGATAGGCCTGTCCAGAGTCTCGGGTTGTCATCTTCTTTGGAATAAGAGTCTTGCCGATGTAATTAAGAATCTTTTATTTAATTAATTAATTTATTTATATTTTTTTATCTTTAAATTTTTTTCTCTTTAAATTTTTTTATGTTAATCACCATACATTACATCATTAGTTTTTGATGTAATTATTGTTTCCATGATTCACTGTTTGCGTATAACACCCAGTGCTCCATGCAGAACGTGCCCTCCTTAATACCCATCACCAGGCTGACCCATCCCCCACCCTCCTCCCCTCTAGAACCCTCAGTTTGTTTTTTAGAGTCCATCGCCTCTCATGGTTCATCTCCCCCTCCGATTTACTCCCCTTCGTTCTTCCCCTCCTGCTATCTTCTTTTTTTTTTCTTAACATATATTGCATTATTTGTTTCAGAGGTACGGATCTGTGATTCAACAGTCTGTAATTAAGAATCTTGAGATGAGACCATCCTGGATCAGGATGAGCCCTAAATCCAATGATGAGTATCCCCACTGGAGACATAAAAGGAGAAGACACATGTGGAGAACACATGGAGATGAAGGTAGAGATCAGGATGAGCCTGTACAAGCCGAGGGACACTGAGGACCGTTGTCAGCCACCAGCAGCTGGAAGAGAGGCATCGAACGGGTTTCCCTCAGAGCCTCCAGAAGGAATGAATCCCAACAACACCTTGCTTTTGGACTTCTGGGCTCCAGAACTGTGACAGAGTAATTTTCTTTTGTATTTTTTCCAATTAAAATTTTTTATTAAAAACATCTTTCCATTTTTAAAAATTGTAAAAAAAATTGTGGCATATAGTTGATAATAATATCAAATAATTGTTTCTATTTCCTTGGTGATAGTCGTGATCTCTCCCCTTTCATTCATAATTTTATTAATTTGGGTCTTTTCTGTTTTCTTTTGGATAAGTCTGGCCAGTGGTTTATTGATCTTATTAATTCTTTCAAAGAACCAGCTCCTAGTTTTGTTGATCTGATCGACTGTGTTTCTGGTTTCTAATGAGCAATCTGGATGAAATGGATGTCTTCCTGGAAACCTATAAACTGCCAAGACTGAAACAGGAAGAAATTGACAACCTGAATAGGCCAATAGCCAGTAATGAGATTGAAGCAGTGATCAAAAACCTCCCAAAAAGCAAGAGTCCAGGGCCTGATGGATTCCCTGGGGAATTCTACCAAACATTCAAAGAAGAAATAATACCTATTCTCCTGAAGCTGTTTCAAAAAATAGAAACAGAAGGAAAGCTTCCAGACTCATTCTATGAGGCCAGCATTACCTTAATCCCCAAACCAGGCAAGGACCCCAACAAAAAGGAGAATTTCAGGGGCACCTGGGTGGCCCAGTCGTTAAGTGTCTGCCTTCGGCTCAGGTCATGATCCCAGGGTCCTGGGATCGAGCCCTGTATTGGGATCCTTGCTCAGCGGGAAGCCTGCTTCTCCCTCTCCCACTCCCCCTGCTTGTGTTCCCTCTCTCGCTGTGTCTCTCTTTGTCAAATAAATAAATAAAATCTTAAAAAAAAGAGAATTTCAGACCGATATCCCTGATGAATATGGATTCCAAAATCCTCAACAAAATCCTAGCTAATAGGATCCAACAATACATTAAAAGGATGATCCACCACGACCAAGCGGAATTTATCCCTGGGTGGTTCAACATTCGCAAATCAATCAATGTGATAGAACACATTAATAAGAGAGAAGAACCATATGGTCCTCTCAATTGATGCAGAGAAAGCATTTGACAAAATACAGCATCCTTTCCTGATTAAAACTCTTCAGAGTATAGGGATAGAAGGAACATTCCTCAAGTTCAAAATCCATCTATGAAAAACCCACAGTGAATATCATCCTCAATGGGGAAAAGCTGAGAGCCTTTCCCTTAAGATCAGGAACACTTCAAAGATGCCCATTCTCACCACTATTGTTCAACATAGTACTAGAAGTCCTAGCAACGGCAATTAGATAACAAAAAGAAATAAAAGGCCTTCAAATTGGCAAAGAAGAAGTCAAATTCTCTCTTTTCACAGATGACATGATACTTTATGTGGAAAACCCAAAAGACTCCACCCCCAAATTACTAGAACCCATACAGCAATTCAGTAATGTGGCAGGATACAAAATCAATGCACAGAAATCAGTTGCTTTCTTATACACGAACAACACAACTGTAGAAAGAGAAATTAGAGAAACGATTCCATTTACAATAGCACCAAAAACTGTAAGATACCTCGGAATAAACCTAACCAAAGAGGTAAAGGATCTATACTCTAGGAACTACAGAACACTCATGAAAGAAATTGAAGAAGACACAAAAAGATGCAAAAACATTCCATGCTCATGGATCGGAAGAATAAACATTGTTAAAATGTCTATGCTACCTGGAGCAATCTATACCTTCAATGCCATCCCAATCAAAATTCCAATGACATTTTTCAAAGTCTGGAACAAACAATCCTAAAATTTGTATGGAATCAGAAAAGACCCCGAATTGCCAAGGAAATGTTGAAAAAGAAAAACAAAGCTGGGGGCATCATGTTGCCCAATTTCAAGGTATATTACAAAGTAGTGATCACCAAGACAGCATGGTACTGGCACAAAAACAGACATATATACCAATGGAACAGGATAGAGAGCCCAGATATGGATCCTCAAGTCTATGGTCAAATAATCTTCAACAAAGCAGGAAAAAATATGCAATGGAAAAAAGACAGTATCTTCAATAAATGGTGCTGGGAAAATTGGACAGCCACATGGAGAAGAATGAAACTCGACCATTCTCTAACACCATACACAAAGATAAGCTCAAAATGGTTGAAAGACCTCAATGTGAGACATGAATCCATCAAAATCCTAGAGGAGAACATAGGCAGTAACCTCTTTGACATTGGCCACAGCAACTTCTTTCAAGATACATCTCCAAAAGTTAGTGAAACAAAAGCAAAAATGACCTTTTGGGACTTCATCAAGATAAAAAGCTTCTGCACAGCAAAGGAACCAGTCAACAAAACAAAGAGGCAACCCACAGAATGGGAGAAGATATTTGCAAATGACACTACAGATAAAGGGCTGGTATCCAAGATCTATAAAGAACTTCTCAAACTCAACACCCAAAAAATAAATAATTAAGTCAAAAAATGGGCAGAAGACATGAACAGACACTTCTCTGAAGAAGACATACAAATGGCTAACAAGACACATGAAAAAATGTTCATCATCATTAGCCATCAAGGAAATTCAAATCAAAACCACATTGAGCTCCTGGACACGCTGAGCGGGCTCTGGGCCCTCCGCACGCCGGCTCTTCTCCTCTTCCCGTGCTAGTTAGCTATGGCGGCCTGAAGACCCTGAACCCCAAGGCCGAGGTGGCCCGAGCCCAGGCTGCGCTGGCGGTGAACATCAGCGCGGCCCGGGGCCTGCAGGACGTGCTGAGGACCAACTTGGGGCCTAAGGGCACCATGAAGATGCTTGTTTCTGGTGCTGGAGACATCAAGCTTACTAAAGATGGCAACGTGCTGCTTCATGAAATGCAAATTCAACACCCAACAGCCTCCTTAATAGCCAAAGTAGCAACAGCCCAAGATGACATAACTGGTGATGGTACCACTTCCAATGTTCTAATCATCGGAGAGCTACTGAAACAGGCGGATCTCTACATTTCTGAAGGTCTTCATCCCAGAATAATAACAGAAGGATTTGAAGCTGCAAAGGGAAAGGCACTTCAGTTTTTGGAACAAGTCAAAGTAAGCAAAGAAATGGACAGGGAAACACTTATAGATGTGGCCAGAACATCTCTATGTACTAAAGTGCATGCTGAACTTGCTGATGTCTTAACAGAGGCCGTAGTGGACTCCATTTTGGCCATTAAAAAACAAGATGAACCTATTGACCTCTTCATGGTTGAGATCATGGAGATGAAACATAAATCTGAAACTGATACAAGCTTAATCAGAGGTCTTGTTTTGGACCATGGGGCACGGCATCCAGATATGAAAAAAAGAGTAGAAGATGCATACATCCTCACGTGCAATGTGTCATTGGAATATGAGAAAACAGAAGTGAATTCTGTTTTTTTTACAAGAGTGTAGAAGAGAGAGAGAAACTTGTAAAAGCTGAAAGAAAATTCATTGAAGATAGAGTTAAAAAAATAGAACTGAAAAAGAAAGTCTGTGGTGATTCAGATAAAGGATTCGTTGTTATTAATCAAAAGGGAATTAACCCCTTTTCCTTAGATGCTCTTGCAAAAGAAGGTAGAGCTAAAAGGAGAAATATGGAAAGGCTGGCTCTTGCTTGCAGTGGAGTAGCTCTAAATTCCTTTGATGACCTAAATCCTGATTGTTTGGGATATGCAGGACTTGTCTATGAATATACATTGGGAGAAGAGAAATTCACTTTTATCGAGAAATGTAACAATCCTCGCTCTGTCACATTATTGATCAAAGGACCAAATAAGCACACACTCACTCAAATCAAAGATGCAATAAGAGATGGCTTGAGGGCTGTTAAAAATGCTATTGATGATGGTTGTGTAGTTCCGGGTGCAGGTGCAGTGGAAGTGGCAATGGCAGAAGCCTTGATTAAGTACAAGCCCAGTGTAAAGGGCAGGGCCCAACTGGGAGTTCAAGCGTTTGCTGATGCATTACTCATTATTCCCAAGGTACTTGCTCAGAACTCTGGTTTTGACCTTCAGGAAACACTAAAGTTCAAGCGGAACATTCAGAATCAGGTCAACTTGTGGGTGTGGACTTAAAACACAGGTGAGCCAATGGTAGCAGCCGAAGTAGGCATATGGGATAACTATTGTGTAAAGAAACAGTTTCTCCACTCCTGCACTGTGATTGCCACCAACATACTCCTGGTTGATGAGATCATGCGAGCTGGAATGTCTTCTCTAAAAGGTTGAATTTGAAGCTTCCCTCGTGTCATCCGAATCATGAAGACTCCACGAGTGATCCTAAGAATATAGCGATGGAATTTTTGTCCAAGCCTCAAATATTTTTCAAAAGCATATGAAAAAAGAGAACACTGACACCTAAAATTCTGAAGTTCTGAAATTAGTGTTTTTTTAAATTGCACTGCAACGTACACACATTAAGCAGGCCGTTTTTACCCAATGAAAAGGATGTTTTGCTTTAGCTTCAGTGATATAAAAGTACCGTGTGAGATAAGCAAAACAAACAAACAAACAAACAAACCACATTGAGATACCACCTTACACCAGTTAGAATGGCAAAAATTGCAAGGCAAGAAACAAATGTTGGAGAGGTTGTGGAGAAAGGGGAACCCTCTTACACTGTTGGTGGGAATGCAAGTTGGTACAGCCACTTTGGAAAACAGTGTGGAGGTGCCTCAAAAAATAAGACACAGATGTAGTGAAAAGAAGGGCCAAATGCACCCCAATGTTCATAGCAGCAATGTCCGCAATAGCCAAACTGTGGAAAGAGCGAGATGCCCCTCAACAGATGAATGGATAAAGATGTGGTCCACGTATACAATGGAATATTACTCAGCCTTCAGAAAGGATGAATACCCCACTTCTACATCAACATGGATGGGACTGGAGGAGATGATGCTAAGTGAAATAAGTCAAGCAGAGAAAGTCAATCATCATATGGTTTCACTTATTTGTGGAACATCAGGAATAGCAAGGAGGACATTAGGAGAAGGAAGGGAAAAATGAAGGGGGGGAAATCGGAGGGGGAGATGAACCATGAGAGACTATGGACTCCGAGGAACAAACTGAGGGTTTTAGAGGGGAGGGGGGAGGGGGGATGGGTTAGCCCGGTGATGGGTATTAAGGAGGGCATGTACTGCATGGAGCACTGGGTGTTATATGAAAACACTGAATCGTGGATCACCACATCAAAAACTAATGATGTATTGTATGGCGATTAACATAATAAAATAAAATTTAAAACATATAAAATCTCCTTAGAAAGAAAAAAAACTGTGGTAAAATATACATGATGTAAATTTACCACTTTAATAACTTTCAGCACCCAGATCAGGGGCATTAAGCCATTTGCGTGTTGTGCAACCATCACCACCATCCATCTCCAAGACTTTTGCATCTTGTGAAACTGATACTTTCCCATTAAACATCTCCCCACTCCCTCCTTCCCCCGCCTCTGGTGACCACCTTTCTACCTACTGTCTCCATGATTTTGGTGACTCAGAGAAGTGAAATTCTACGGTATTTGCCTTTTTTGTGACTGTCTTATTTCACTTCCCATAATGTCAATTTTCTGTTATTTAAAGCAACCAAGTTTATGGCAATAAGTGGATATTTGAAAATGGCTCTGTCCCACAGACCTTTATGCAATGATGAAAATATGCTTTATCATTTGAGCTTGTTTTACTCTCGATTCTGTGGGGCTGTGCTGTTATTCCAATATGGAAGCCATTAGGCACTCATGGCCACTGAGCACAGTGTGGCTGGTGCGACCGAGGGAGTGAGTTTTAAATTTTATTTAATTTTAATTAATTTAAACAAAAATAACCGTCTATAGCTAGTGGCTGCCATGGGGCTGGCACGGGTCTGGGAGCTCCAGGGAGTGCACTGGAAGGGCGGGCAGTCTTCTCCTCTCCCAGGGGCTGCAGGGACTTGCAGGTTGCATGCTCCCACCAGAGGTGAGGGAGTTACTGTGTACACTGTAGCATCTGTAGGTCCCAGGTGGGGCAGAAAAATGTCATTCCTGGAAAGTTGGCCTCAAAAGCCCCAGCTTATGGGCTGGGCAAGATGTCCTTCTTTCTGGGAAAGAATGAATGCATCAGACCGGCTCTCTGGAGACATGCACCTCTAGCTGCTTGGCGGGGGCTGTTGAGGAGCCCCAGGGGGCCAAGAGGGCACTATCCGTTCTGGGAGAGCAGAAAGACAAGGTAGTCAGGGGCAGCCCCCTCTGCACGCTCCCCCCTGTCTTACCTGAGCACAAGTAAGTCTTACCTGAGAGCAGGGAAGTCTTACCTCCAGAAAGCACCCTCCACTCTGTTACACTTGGTGGTGGCTTGACGCCTCTCCATCTTTGTCCTTGTTTTCTGGGTGCTTGGTTCATTTACTGTCTCTATTAGGGACACTTCCTCTCAACCCAGGAGTCCTCATGGGGACTCATGACATCCAACACGGGCTGGCATAGGTCACGTGTGTATTACTTGAACATACTGCTCAAAAGTAAAGATTCGACTGAGTGGCTCTGAAGATGCAGTTGGCTCTGTGAGTGGGCTCATGAATCTACCCAGTAAGTGGAGAGATGCTGTGCTAATGGAAGGCTTTTATAGGAAGGACCAAGGGCCAAGACATTATCAGCAAAAGAAAAAGGACTGTTTGGGGGAATTGGGGCTGTGCTGAAATCTTGGTTTGCTGTCATGGGGGCAAATGACTCCATTTTGGCTTAAGAAAGCTTGTGTGAGGGGCGCCTGGGTGGCTCAGTTGGTTAGGTGACTGCCTTCGGCTCAGGTCATGGTCCTGGAGTCCCGGGATTGAGTCCTGCATCGGGCTCCCTGCTCGGCGGGGAGTCTGCTTCTCCCTCTGACCCTCCCCCTTCTCATGTGTTCTCTCTCTCTCTCATTCTCTCTCTCTCAAATAAATAAATAAAATCTTAAAAAAAAAAGAAAGTTTGTGTGGGTTTCCTCCCCTGCACACACACTGCCCTGTCTCAGGTGGTGATGGGTGTTGCAGGGGCAGCCAGGAGTTTGGACCTCTCCGTGGAGGAAGGGGGAATCACAGAAGTGATTGAAATGAAAAACTTCTGAAGGTGGGGAAGAGAAGGCATGGATGGTGATGTCTCCTTTGCCAAAGGACCACTTTCTGAGGTCCCTACAGCCTCAGATCCAAGCTCTTTTGGAGAAAGAGAAGCCAGGATAACTGGGGGGAGGGATGTACTATTTAGTGCCCAGATACTTTGGTTCAGATAAAATCCTAAAAAAGAAAGAGAGAGAGAGAGAGAGAGAGAGAGAGAAACCTGTTTATAGATTCCTAGCATCTTCCCTGTCTTCTGCCTGTTTGGTTTCATCTGGGTACTGGTACCTGGGGGCCAGACCAGGTGCTGGGAAGCGGGGTGTGTGCCATGGATACTGGGAGAGCCGTCCGAGGCACCAGGACCCATGTGCAGAGCTGGCCTGGAGGCTCTGTGTGGAGCATCCCCACCTCTCCTCCAGGCTCCAAGACCCAGCAGACACGGATCCTGGAGGGCATGGTGCTGCCTCCGTCAGGTTTTCCTGGTCCAGTAAAGACAGACAGAAGGGCAGACAGATGGCCAGAGTCACATGGAGGCTAAACGGCAAGGGGGAAGAGCTGCAGCTCAGGGGCGCCCTTCTCCACGTCCTGACAGAGCATCCTTCTCGTGTTTCCCCTTTGCAGTCCTTGAGTCAGACGCTTGGGAGATCAGCAGAATCCCATGGACATCATTTCTGGGGCCAACTAGAGAAGAGAAAGAGAAGCCTTAATTGTAGAATGATGCTTTACTCCTCAAAAAAAAAAAAAAGGGGGGGGGGAGGCAGTCCTGCAGATTCAAACCAGGGTGTGAAAATCAGGCAGACTGTAACTTGGATCTGGACCCTTGGGCAGCAAGGCGGGGCTGCTCGTATGGGACAGTGTTACAGGAAGAGAGAAGAAACCCCATGGATTCATGCAGTTTGTGTCTGGGATCCTCGTCCAAAAGCTGTGACTTGTCACATCTCAAGGGACAACCCTTTCATGGATGGCCTCTGATCATGGAAAGGTTTAAGATACTAACCTATGTATTGTGCTCACAAATAAGTTGAAATAACTGGGACAGCTTTATACATTTGTAACCTTGTACACCTGCTTCTAATTTTTAAGAAAACAAATCCTATTCGAGATTAGTCTTGAGTTTTTTTTTTTTTTAGATTTTATTTATTTATTTGAGAGAGAGGGACACAGAGCACAGGCAGGGGGACCAGCAGAGGGAGAGGGAGAAGCAGGCTCCCTGCTGAGCATGGAGCCTGGCTGGGACTCGATCCCAGGATCCTGGGATCATGACCTGAGCCTAAGGCAGATATTCAACCGACTGAGCCACCCAGGTGCCCCTAGTCTTGAGGTTTTATTTATTTTAGATTTTATTTATTTATTTCAGAGACAGTGGGCACATATGCAAGTTGGGGGTGGGGGGCAGAGGCAGAGAATCTCAAGTGGACTCCCCACTGAACTGAGCTTGGAGCCCGGTTCAGGGCTCCATCTCTTTAAGCACCTGAGATCATGACCTGAGCCAAACCAAAGAGCTGGATGCTTAACTGACTCTGCCACTCAGGTGCTCCAGTCTTGAGGTTTTAAAATCTATAATGAAGAGATTTGCACTTAAGAAAAAAAAATGTACCTAGGTCACCTGGGTGGCTCAGTCGGTTAAGTGTCTGCCTTCAGCTCAGGTCATGATCTCGGGGTGCTGGGATTGAGCCCCACGTCTGGCTTTCTGCTCAGCGGGGAGTCTGCTTCTCCCTCTCCCTGTGCCCCTCCCTCTGCTCGTGGGCATGCTCTCTCTCTCAAATAAGATCTTAAAAAAAAAAAGAAGAAAAAAAGAAAAAAGTGTACCCAAAAGAATTGGAAAGCAGGGACTCAGACACGCACACACCCCCATTCACGGAAGCATTATTTGCGGCAGCCCAAGTGCCCATCCACAGACGACTGGATAAACAAGTTGTGGTCTTTCCACACAAGGGAATATCACTCAGCTTTAGCCAG